ACAGTTAACACCCCTTTCTGCCTTCTTTTGTTTCGGGGTAACTTTACTATCATATTATATTCATGATAAATCACCTGTGATGTCTTCGGACCCAATAAAGTTCATCACAGCCTATGTTCATGCTGAATTAAGGCTGAATTGTGTGGGAATACATGGCTGAGATCAAGGATTACAAACAAAGGAATTCCAGGCAATACATTCCTGACTTGAACTAATATTTTACCACCTGTTTTCATTTTCACTGTTAAAGCGGAAGCATTTTGCTTCTGCCATGAAAAAATACAGTTAACAAAACCGCAGTATAGAAGTAATTCTCTTCCCCACTGGCAAAGAAACATACTTAAATTTATATGGAATGCTTTCTCATTTATATGATTGACTCGAAGAAAACAATATAAAAAAAAAGGGAATTAAGTACAAAATGAGCTATTTATGAAGTGCCAGAAAAGAAGCCCTGCTCAAACGGCCCTTGTGGAGAACTCAATGGTTGTAATTTCACATCAGGTCTGGCACTGAAAATACAGCCACTAAATATATTTGCTTAGTAAAAGATGTATATTTTTCCCATTTATTTGTGCATTATGGTGAACTCATCCCAGCACAGAGAGCCATCCTTAAGCCTCTGTACCACTTAAGTCCTACTAAACCCCTGTTTTAGGAATTTAGTGGGCCTGAGGTCTCCAGGTAGGTGTGAACTTAAGTCTTAATCCATCTTTCACCAAAATTACTGGTATTGTCCTGTGGCTTTCCACAATAAAATCATTATGTACATAATTATTTTTAAAATTTTGAGTTTGGACCAAGAAATAAAGGTCAGGTCTTAGAATCTGACCTTCAGTCCCAGAGTATTTATTCTGTCTTCCTTTATAGTGTGACTAGAAGGTCCCTTCTGTGGAAGAAAGCTTTCTTATAAAAAGTTAAGCTTGCAGTTTGGTTGTTAAAGAAAACTTGAAAATAGCCAAGAACAGCCAGTTAGAGTTAGTTCTCCACTTTGAATACGTTTGTTACAGATAATAAAGCGACCTCTGGCTCCTATTTTAAAAAATGTGCATTCAGACAAGATCGAAATTTCATAGTTCTGAAAAGTTAATTCAGTCTTTTATGAGCATGGTTTGAACCAAGAATTAGAGTCCTTAATTCAGATCTGTATTCTGACAGAAGTCATTTGTGCCACTTGAAATGTTTAATGTTAAATGTATGCTAATATATTGGACTGAGATGTGCTAAAAAATTGGCACTCGCTTTAAGTCATACTTCATCCTGAAAAACTGCTTGCCTACCACTGTGAGAAATGGCATCTCCACTAACTATAACAGGAAAGGGTTTAAGGAAAAACAACTATTGTTTTTGTCAAGCTACTCTTTCAGTCAGTTTGCAAACACTTCTTTTACAGTCAGTTTGCTCTTTCCATCTAACGAGGCCTCTTTTCTATGGCCAGAAAAGGCAAAAACCCACTTAGAACACGACTGTGAAATAGCAAGTGGGAAGGCAAGTGTAATGTCCTAGTAGCTTTGAATTCCAAATTCATTTGTTAAAACTGAATAGGCTTTGAGTTATTGCTAATGCTTTAAATGATCTCCATGTTTAAATTATGCCAGGATGCGGGAGAGAAATTTGAAGACATCTAGTGGTTATATTAAGGAAGGCAATTGAGAAAATAGTTATGAAGCTTAGCTTGAAATATAGATGGTTTCAACACTAGCACGATTAGGCCCCAGGAATTCAGATACTTGAAAGCTGGCATTTTCTAGTAGGCAAGTTTGGAATCCTTCTCCTGAAGTGTGTTATCAGCAACTGCTGATTTGAGTGAAAAATTAGCAAAACAGGCCACACAACTACTGAAACATTAAACATGGTATATATGAAAGATTTATGAGCAACAGAGAAAATGGGGAATTATTAGTTGTTTCACTGAAAGCTACTTATCACTCGGTTCTGTTATGGTACTGTGATTATTAAGCATTCTTTGTGCAAGACAAGCAAGATGCAGTTTACTGTCATTGTTGCATCTTGGTATTAGTTTTGCATTCTGGTTTTTGCCCATTTTGTCCAAAGATACCAAACAGTTGCTGAATGGTCATGTTGGTACTGTCTTACATATGCAGTGTGGTTATATATGTGAGCAAGACAATCATAATCTGGCTGTTAATATTTAAACATCTTCACTGGGTTGGGTTTTTTTATGAGAAGTCTGCTGTGTATTTTGAAGATAATCACAATGAAGATGGGTACAGTAAATCATTTAATATTCCCAGTGTATGAATAGAATAGTGATTAGTGTTGTGTCAGCATGGTTTAACACACAGGCCCAGGAAATACAGCAAGGTTCTCCTCAGGTCTTAGACCTGAGGGTGTCTTCAGCTCTACTTGTGCCCTCCTGCATGACCTGGCTCAAGCCATGTCACATCCTTGTGCCTGTGTTTTCTTACCAAGTGATCTATTTTTGTTACCTATTCATATTGAAAACTTCTTGCTTTCTAGGACTTTCTATACAGCATTTAACAAATCAGGGCCTAAGAATTCCTCTGAAGTTCCCAAGTCCTCATGTACTGCAGATAATGTGTATTTGTATATAAGCAATGAGAGAGGGGAGGATCACACAATCTTTTTTTCTTTTTTCCTTCAAATGTTTTGCCTACCATTGTATTTTCATCCCCTTCCCATCCCCATCTCTCCAAAATTCCTCTCCAGTTTTGTCACCTGCTGATGGAGTCACCAACCAAATTCAGCAGTCACTACTGTCCTGTGCTTTATAGAGGAAGGACTGGGTTTGGCTGATAGAAGTGACTAAAAAATTGCTATTTATGAACTCTGGGATAAATCACAGCTCTCCTGAGTGAAGGCTCATACTGCAGTAAAGGATGCATCCAGGTCACGAGGAATGGATGCTGTAACTCCTCAACAGGCAGTGATTGCTGTGCTGGGATAGAGACATTGCATTGATTTTAACTGTCTGCATGGATCAGAATCTGCTCCTGCACCTTCTAAACTACAGCAAGGCTCTTGTACTTACAATCGTCTCTTGACAATGCCAGTGCCTAATGCAAACTATTCATATGAATAGAGTAGTCACAAGTGTTTATTTCTTCCTGTAGCCCTTTAAAAACGACATCTTAATCCTACATAGCACTTGTTACTAATTTCCAGTAACCTCACTTGTGGTTCAGTGTCTGGTATCAGCTATCTGTTGAGTCTGTGCTGTGAGAGTACTCCTGTTAGTCATAATACTCCTCTTGTCGGGCATTGTTAAATAGGATTGAGTGTCAACAAGCAAATGCATGTCAGGACTTTGCCTGATAGATTTTAAATAGAGTTAGAATACGTCAGCTAATGAGAAATGCCAGTTCTTCCACCCGTGTGTGTAACTGGGTGAGTAAAAGGAGCTAAATAGTTTCCTTGTTAGAAGAGGCATTCAGTAAAGGTCAGCGAACACTGTTCTTTTTCCAGGGAATTTGAATGGCTTTCCTGTTGCCCAAATAAAAATGCTTAAATGGTTTGAAGTTGCAAAGCATGCTTTAAACAGTTTAGTTAAGGATTTGTTGCTGCTGTTGTTAACTTAAGGAGCTTTCTGAGAATCACGCACCTTGTTGGCAAGTTACTGAACCATCATCTAAGAGACATTAAAGGACAGGGATAAGTTACTCATATTTATGCAGCTCCACATATAGTTCTGTTCAGTGCTGCAGCGCTTCATAAACAGTGCAGATACCCAACAAGTAGTCAGTTCCTGCTAAATGTAATTCCTTTCATGTGAAAGGTTTTACAGTTATGTTCCACATCCCTCGGTAACCTCCACGAGACAGAGAAATGAAAGCTTATTTTACACAGCAAAAAGGCAAAGTGGTAAAAACTAAGTAATTTCATGGCCACAGTTTGAGAACAGGTATTAGAATTCAGAGTACTGATTGCTACTGCTACAGGCCAGGGGACATCATTATACAACACTCCAGAATAAATAAAATGACAGGTTTCAACTGATAAATCAAACTTTTGCTGTAGCTTTTGCTTTGTCCACAAAGGGTGCCAGATTCGTTCTCTGCCCTTGCATCTTGTATCAACTTGTCCACATATGTAAATTCAGTGTAAACCAGAAGTAGGTGAAATGACAGCATTTTATATTCTCCTTTACTCATGAGGAAATAAGCAGTGAATCAGATTGCTCTGCAAATTGCTCTCACCCAACAATTGTACAATTGTGAATCTAGGTCAAGGCACTTCTTTAAAACTACTGATTATTCTGCACCTACCTTCTTGTGTCTCAGGTTTAAATCCACCCACCTGGCACTTTCAGGTTCTTTTCTGCAGCCTTAGTGCTAGATGACAATTTTGTTTAGAAAAAGCTAAAATTTTCCAGGTAATTTATTTTTTTGAGGAGATTCAGAGTAAGACAAAAAGAACCCACATATAACACACAGGGTGACAGGAGTTACCAGCACTGATTGTAGAGGTTGTACTGCATTTACTTACAAATTTTTTGCATCTTAAGCTTTTTATTTTCCTTAAGGATATTTTTGGTCATTTTCATCCCAAATTTTTATTCTTTCTTATTCAGTCCAATAAATGAAAATTCCAAATGTTACCAAATGCCAGCTTGTTATTTTGACTCTCACTGAAACAGCTTTTGCAAATGTAACATTGTCCTATGCAAATCATATTATGTGTTTCAGTAATGCATGGTCACAACTCCCATTTATCCTCTTTAAGTACTGTAAAGTAATACTGTTAAAGTTCTAATAATAAATTAATTGTTCTTTATGCTGCTTCACTGCAAGAAGCATTTGGATGAGGTAACTCCACAAAAAATAGGTATCACTGCTATAATACGGGTCATTGGTAGTTTTAATAATTCAATGTTTTATAGCAAGTTTGCCTGCAGTTGAGGTCTCCAAATGATACGTGATTGCAAAATCTGGAAAACTCTTTCAAACCTCCCCAACAGAAGAAAAAAAGGGCATATTTGAAGTACACTGGGGCATGTAACCGATCAGCGGGTGACTAACCTGACTCATCTCCATGGCTTCATTCAGCTCCACTCTCAAAATTCCTGTGGGCTGCTGAGCAAATAAAAAATATCCCAAATTTAAAACATGACCACCGGGAAAGGTTTCCAAAAGATCAGACTTCTAACAGGGATTTTTTTGCTGTTCACAGGCCTGTATGTTATGTAATGCAGCAAAAAGATCGTTACTTCTAAGAGTAGGGCATGGGCTGTGAGGGATCCTCAGCACTGAGCAAACGAAATAAAAAGCCCTGCATTTTAAAAAAAAACAGCCAAAACAAACAAACAAACAAAACCCCCAACCAAACAAACCCAATTTTGGACAAGAAGATATTATGGTGATAAGAAAAAGTATCCTCCTGTTATTGATGATATGTTTGCTTGTGCCTAATTGAAGACATGCTGTATTTAGTGAGGACATTATTAGGGTTGGCTTCCTAGTGCTAATTAATTTGAGAAATACAGTTAAATACTAGAGATGCATGACATTTTTTTAATTGGTGATGAACTCTTAAAAAATACAATTTTAGGGTTATTCAGTATTTTGTGTCGAGTTAGACAATGATTTTCATCTGCAAGGAAAGGAAATAGGAAAGATGTTTGAAAACAGTCTGTCCTTTCATTATTTTGAAGGGGGCTGAAATAGAAACATTCATGTTTCTTTATGACAGTTTTTAAGCAAAACTTCTATGCTTTGAGTCAAACCAGCATTTTTCATTAACTCAGAGAGCAGAGGAAGTTAACTTAAAAATCGAAGATCGGTGACATAAAAATAGGAGGGGCGGCAGGTGATCTGACAGAGGGACTTAAAGTTCAGAATTATCTTTTTAGAGGTCAGAAATGGTCTGAAAAACAGAATTAAAAGCAGAAGGTTTTGTCTTCATACAAATTGTATATACATCTTATACAGAAATCCACATCTTAGGAATGGGAAGGACCGGAACTTTTCAAGCACAAAATGATGGTGTAAACTTCTGATCTGTATTCTGAAAGGCGCAGCGTAAGTGGTCTCCCTCTGCCCTACCCAGGTATTTCCTTTAGGCAGAAATAGCTTCTTTTTTATGGGGCATAAAATGTTACTGCTTAATCTGGGCTGAGTGCTTCATAAAATTGGAAAGCATTGATACAGAGGAGCCTAAAGGTGCATCGGTGTCCTCTGGGTGAAAAGGTTTCCAGATCTCCTCTTTGCAGCATCAGCTTCCAATATGTGTTAGTGCCCGAGGGTTTTCCGTTCACATCGCTCACTGTATTTGGATTTTTGTTTGACAGAGAAATGGTTAATGCATGGTTTGCTGAGAGAGTTCACACCATCCCAGTCTGCAAGGAGGGAACCAAGTCCCAGAGCGAATCCTGTGCTTGTCACCAGCCTGCCTGTGCCGAGACCACCAGCCCTGGGACACCGGCGAGGAAAATCTCTGCTTCGGAATTTGACAGACCCCTAAGGCCTATTTTTGTCACGGACTCGGTAGGAGCAGTGAGCTTCCTCTCAGGCTCTGAAAAGAAGGAACAGATGCCTCTGCCATCTCCAAGGATTGAGACCAGTGCAGGGGATCAGTGCTCAAGACTATTAGAACTTGTAAAAGACATTTCCAGTCACTTGGATGTCACGGCGCTGTGCCATAAGATCTTCCTGCATATCCACGAGCTGATAGCAGCAGACCGCTATTCCCTGTTCCTGGTCTGTGAGGACAGCTCCAATGAGAAGTTCCTCGTCAGCAGGCTGTTTGATGTGGCAGAAGGCTCCACCCTGGAAGAAGCTTCCAACAACTGCATCCGCCTGGAGTGGAACAAGGGCATTGTGGGGCACGTGGCAGCCATAGGCCAACCTCTGAACATCAAGAACGCCTATGAGGTGAGTCGAGGAAACTTCTCCTGAGCAGTTCTCCACCAAAAGAAGGTGCCTTATGATCAGCTGTTGAAATGTTGCCACTTCAGTACCTGTATTAGGACCTGTGTTCACTTAAACTGGCGAAGGTGCAAAGCCCACCCCGTGGTTTTGGTTGTAATACCTGTGCTGTAGATACATGTGTGCACAGACACACGGCGCTATGACTGAAAGAACCAGAGTTTTGTAACAATATTGAGGTGAAAAATATGAAACGAGCAATCTCTGATAAAAGCAAAACCACTGACCACAGTCATGAAACTTTGTTCCTCTGTGGCCATGTGTCTCTCAGTGTATTTCTGTAACCTCTTCTTGACGATAAAAGCTCCACCAGGGATGGTTGGTCTGTGTACATGTTCATGATAATGATGGTCTAGGTGCAAGAAAAGACTTCTCCTAGGATTTGGGTGGGGGTTTTTTGTTGTTGTTCTTCATGGTTTTTGCTTTAACACCCTGAGAATAACAACTTCATATAATTATTACCTAGTAATGGAACCTTTGTTATCCTGGGTAACAGTTAAATCAAATATTCTGCTTTTCTTAACCTTTAAACCAAGGAAGAAAAAGAAGTGATCTTTCAGCAAGTAGTCTAATAATGGTATTTTTTTTCTTGTATCAGGATCCAAGATTCAATGCAGAAGTTGACCAGATCACAGGGTATAAGACTCAGAGCATTCTCTGTATGCCAATAAAGAATCACAGGGAAGAGGTAAGTTGCAGTCTTAGGATCACTTCATGTAATACTGTTTCCAGTATTGCTGATGCTTTAAACTTCTATTAGCTGCCAGTCATTATCTTCCACTATAAAACTATCTCTTTTTTTAAAAAAAAAGACTGCTTTTGTTTGTTTGGACTTTAATTTTATCTTATCCAGTTCAGTAATGTAAGCCAAAGGGAACTGTCAGCGTTTAATCCCAGATGCAGCAGTAGAATATATGGATTTAACTCTAGAAGTGCCAGTCCTGCTTCCTGCACCAAGTATCTGTGAGCAGTAAAGTTCTCTGCACACTTACTGGTCTATCCCAGAGCACTGAGACTGCAGTTAAGAGTTACTGTCAGTGAAGTACATTTGGGTTTCCTTTGATCCTGACTGTAGGAGCCTTCAGCCACATCACCAGTTCCAGGAACACTCACAAAGGATAAGGCTCTCTATAGAGTGTGTCCGAGCTTTGAGGTGGAGATTTTTCTCTCCCGCAATTCATTTATTTTTCAGAGCATTTGTGGTTTGCTTCCAGAGAGCTCAAACTCCCCAAAAGAAAGGCTGCCAGGATTGGTTTGAAGGCATCATACCTTCTTCTTCTTGCTCTTCCATCTTTCACTCCTCTTACGGAGTTTTTCACCTTGGCTCTTTCTGCACTGAACCTTTCTTTCATTAAATAAATTGATTAAGCTCCTGATTTAACTTGTCTATTGAATCTTACTGCAGCTGACCCAGATGATCAGCCAGCTTTTCCTTTCTTCACGTACTACTAATTTTGGCCTAAATTTTTTTCTTTTTTTCAGTTCTTCCAAGGACAGCACTTGATCCTTTCCTACTCTTGCTTAAAAGTCTTTCCCTGCAGCCACCGCTGGCCCTGGGCCAGCAGATGAGCAAAGCAGATGTGGTGGGAACAGCTGAGTGGCAAAAAATGCTGTGCCCCATGTAGATGGGAACAGAACTGAGTTACAAAGTCTTGCTGGCCAGGGAGCGTGGAAGTGCCCACTTCTCCCCAGGTCCTGCTGCTGGGTGGGGGAAGGAATAAGAGCTGCAGTCTGTGTGTCCAGTGCACCATGACTTAGGGGCTGAATAAACCTGCAATGGGCCGTGTCCTGGGCCAGCTTTCTACTCCTAAGTGCATCAGCAAGGGGAAATGAAGCAGGAATTTGTTTATTTGGAAAAGTTCAGCCAACCTGAAGTTTGAGGAGAGTGTTATACTCATATGCAATAATTCGAAGGTGCTAAACTCTAAGAGTTCTTATAGGAAAGGATTGCAACTTTAATTTTTTCTGATTTTTACAGTCTGTACCAGAAGGTTTTTCTCCTTCTCACCACAACAAATGACTAGCATGTTTCTGGAGAGATCGTTGGACTCAATGAATCAGTCCTTAATTTTCCATTTCCATTCTGCTGCTTTGTCTGTTTAAAAATCCCCAGAACAACAAAGCCAGAATGCTGACTCCTGCCTGTTAAAAAATAAATAGATAAAATTTTAAAAATCCCCAAAGCCCCTCTATTAATATTGAGGCTACTGAATGCTGCCTTAGCCCAGGATGTCAGCAACCACAGTCAAAAGATGATTCTGGAGGTCATCCAAAAATAAGCACTGAGAAAGAGAAGCAACTGGGGCTTTCTGTTTGTTTGTTTAGTATTAGGACTGTTTTTTTAAAAACAAAAGAGTCAGTAATTGAGAGGAAGAAAATCTCATGCTGATTATTAAATCCTCTGGGCCTGCTGAAGTATGGAGATTTTTCCAGTAGATGCTTTTCACGTTTGCCTATATTTCCATGAGGCATGTGAGAAACCAAAGCCTCATTTAAAAATAACATCTAGTAAGAAATTCCACAGATGAAAAGCAAACAGTTTGATTCACAAAAGAGCCCACGAAAAGGACCCAGGAACTAGTAACAATGAAAAAAAGCTCCAAATGGTGCTGATTTGCCTTCTAGGGCTCCTGGAAAGTCAGGAAATGCAGTGGCACAGGTCTTCTGGTTTTGTTTGGGCTTGGATTCAGGGACCTAGAGAAAGGATTGCAGAGGTTGTGGCAAATAACTATCACCTTGGATGTCTGCACCTGGTTTTGTAGGCACTTGTCAACAAACAGCCATTTCAACAGAACCAACAGGGAGTAGCAGTCCTTATTCCATTCCTTGGCTTAATCCACCCTGTGGAGTTATGCAGGGCTGACACAGGCTCAGCACAGCTCTCTGACAGGCTTGGAATATCTGGAGAATGGAAGGTCTCTGCTGCACAGAGACACCACAGCTGCCACAGAACATCTACGGGAATCACACAGTTTTCTGTTACTGCTGCATTTTTTTCCCATTCAGCCGTGCATAGTAATTTGCATTAAATTCAAATTCAGTTTGTTTTCTACTAAAATCTGTAGGATTTTCTCACATGGAACTTTCAACTGAATTAACTGAGACCTCTCTCCCAGGCTTCAACTAAGCCTGAACTTCCCAGTAATTGGCTAGGGAAATGTTTTATTCTGGCAATTGTTTAGTTTGTTGTTCACCTTGCCCTGTTTGCTACTATTTCCAACAGCCTTTGAAAATATCCTGTTGCGTTTTGTTGTGTAAAACGTGAGCAGGCACGTTCCTGCCAGCCAGGGAAGTTATTTTCTCCCTCAGTGAACACTTCAGATATCGCAGTCACTGCAGAATAGAGGAGCTCCAGCCAAGCTGACTTTAAACAAACTCCCCCAAGTTCCAGTAGCAGTCTTGCTGCAGGATTATGGAGATCAGTAATTTGCTTCTTGGGTGGATTTTCAGCTTATGCTGAGACACGTGTTACGTTCACTGGACTGCTGGAAATCACGCAGGCTGCTGCTGGCATGAATTATAGAAGAGGATGTGAAATTTTAGTTTATTAAAAATGGAAGTCTGTAAATACAGTTCTGTCCCTGCAGGATAATTTTATAAGCCTGAATCAAAGCTCTACAAGACCAGGAGAGCGAAGTAAGGTTAACACCACTTAGTCTGTCTGCTGAAGTGGGTATGTTCTCTTATTGAAAATGAGATAAAAGTTGAGTTCCCCTCTTTCTGTTACCATTCTTTGGCTTAATGTAATTTTTCTTCAGGTGCCAGCAAAAGCAAATCAAAAATATATCTTCCTAGGAAGCAAAATTAATTGTATTTTTGAGTCAGCTGAAGTAAGAACCAACTAAAAAGGGCACCAATGGCCTGTAGAGCTGGAAGAGCTTTTCCAGAGTTAGGCCTGTAATCCTAATGTGCAAAAACCTGCAGCATGAAACAATCGAGATAAAATCCAGAGCACAGTCATCAGTCATCACCTACTGGGAAACACTCTAGGTAGGCTGCTACTTTTAGAGGCAGGGCTCAGCTATGGCAAGAAAATAGTAAAAATAAAGTTCTCTAAGAATTAGAAGGAATCTCTTCTTGTAATGTGGATCAGGATTTCTTAAATGGGAAAAGTAGATAGAGAAGAAAGGTTAGAGGACAAGTGGAGCCCTGGAAGATCACTTGTGCTGCCAGCAAGAATATTTTTAACCCCTTTCTTTCCTATTAGTTTTGCCTTGTGTGACCAAGGCTAATTCTGGAGCTGCAGCAGGAGAATGACAAGGACTCAAACATACACATCTTTGCTTTATTGCTACATGACTCACCTGTTATATTTTCCCAATATTCTCCAAGCTTTATCTCAGATTTCTCTTGTTTATTGCCACAAACATTTCATGCTTTGTATGTACCTGTTATCTGAGAAAGTTTCCTGTGCAGCTGAGCTCAGTCACCTTGGATTCAATTTTTCTGCTGGTGCAAACATAACTCCCAGCTAGAGATCACTGGTCAGGCCTATTGTTATTGCTGATTTGTTTGTAGTAAGTTTTAAAAATGAAGATTTGGGTTTCATACTGTGCTTAGTATTCTCTAAAATGCAGGCATATGTTCTCCATGGCCTAAAATGTTACTACATGATTTACTTTTGTCCTAATTACAAAATTACTTTAGTAACAGGAACAGATCCTCTTGAGTTCCCTATATCTTCTCCTAATTACCTGGTTGCAGGCAAGACTCCAATGGCTAAAAAATATCCATCTGAGGTTTTTCTCATTACTGTCTCTACACCGTATCCTACAGAATGTAGAGAAGCACTGAAATTTGTACTGATATAAATGAGGCCACAATTTGGACCAGTTTAATCTTTAAAACTGTTCATTTTGTATGAAAAAAAATGCACACATTACACAGTTGTCTAAAAGCTTAGAATGCCACTGAAACAGCAACAACAAAAAAAAAGGTTTGCACTTGCATGTTTTTTTATCATATTCAAGTCAACTATGACTTTTTAGTAGGTTTATTTTCATTACTCCTTCCCTCCTCAGTTAAAACCTTTTATTGAAAGACCTTTACAGAGCTCTAAAACCGACCATTGCTCTTGGAACACCTGCCTTTGTTCATGTATCATAAGCCTGCAGTGCTGATAAAAGGAGCTTAAATAGTCCTTTTTTTTTCTATATAAATATGGTCCTTTTACTGTTTTCTTATAGCTTTTTTAAGCACCACGGACTTTGCTTTTGTGGAGGGGATGTATTTACACAAGATGAAAGCACTCACCTTCTGGATGCCTTGAAAAGCCTCTGGCCTTATTAAAGTTGTCTTAGCTTATGCTGGATCAAAACTGAAAGAAAATAAAATAAATTAAATCAATACCCAGAGAAGACAGTGGTATGAGAAAAGGTGTCACCATTAATCTCTGCACGTGTAGGCTAAAATAAAAGCATATTGACTGCTTAAAGGATTTGCTTTTATTCAAAGTCTGCCATGGAAGTAGATAAGACTAGTGGTAAATTGTTACTACAGAAAGGAAGTTCACTGGATAACAAATATTCCTCCCTGAAGTGAATGAGAGGGTGGCTGTGGGAAAAGCTGGGTGGTGTGGAAGGGAGCTGAGAGTTCAGCTTTATTTCAGACAGACATTTTTGAGCCCACAGTTGGCAGCGATTCATCCTGCAGAACAATGACCTTGCTTGTAACATCAGTATTTTGGGAATGCGAGGCTGAGAGATAGTAAATTGTCTTCTTTTCCATTACAAAAATAAACCCACATGCCTTCTATCAGTTTAGCAGTTACAAATGTAATGATTAACAGTTAACTTTTTAAACATTTAACCACCACACGCAGTTTTCTTCTGATATTGTTTATCCCCAAAAAAGCGAGATGAAAAAATACCATCATTAACACCTTGCATTGGTTTTACACTACTTGGACTCAAACAAAGGAAGTTCTTTGTGGTTTTTCTATCACTTGTTGTAATCATGCCAAAAAATCTGAAAAAATGTAAAAGCTTTGCCTGTACTTTATGTCAGATTAATAACACTCTGCAAAGTCTCAAAAGGAAGGAAAACATACAGAAAGGCTAAGGTGGGAAACATTTATTATACTAACTATTCGATTTAATAGTCAACCAAATACCTGTAATGATCACTTATTATCTTCTATACATATGCCTAGAAATACAATCTGATGCCAGGCTCCTAATTGCTCCATTTTGAACACTCTAGGTTGTTGGTGTGGCTCAAGCCATCAACAAGAAATCTGGAATTGGTGGCACCTTCACTGAACAAGATGAAAAGGTATAAAAGCTTTATCCATTTCTGTCTCTTCTGTTTTCCCAGGGGGATGGGGGATGCATATGTTAATAATTTATTTTTCTGAAAAAGTAAAAACTCCTGCTAATACTGCAAATGTCTTTGTTTCTGAGGCCATGAGAAATGTGGATGTGGAATAGTTTGATTTCTGGATCACGATGTTATTTGTCATTTATCTCTGAAACACGGGCTTACTCTCCTGAAATGCATTGTAAAACAGTTTCATAACTTGTAAGAGACATCATTTTTTATTCAATGGTTCCGACTCTCCTGGCATGGCCAACAAACATATTTTGAATATTAAAATTTGTGTAGTGATTCTCTTTCAAATACTGTGTCACTTCTCAATATAGCAATTGCAGGAAAAGAAAAAGCTTTGGATAAATTATGACCAATGTCTAAGATAATCAGTAGAGCAGACAGTAGAATTGATTCCTAATTCTCCCATTGCAGTTGCTTTCCAAACATTTCCGGACTTCACATTCAGGTTGGTTTGGCAAAAGCCAGGCTGTGCTCAGGCTGAAGAAGTGACTTAATCCTCAGCAATAAAAGAATCAGAATTCACCCTTTCTCTTTGAAAACTCCCCCTTTAAAACAAAATGCAGCCTGAGTATCTGCAGGATATCAGAATTAATCCCACACTGAAAAAAGGGGAGAACTGTGGGTTTGCTATCTTAGCAGAATTTTATTTCCCCTTTCCAAGAGATGGAATTGCCCAAAATGAGAGAGGCTGGTTGTCTGCGCTCAGGTTTTCTAAATAAAATAAGCACTGCTGCAAAATGACTTGATTCCTTTGAGCTGCTTCTTATATCAATCTTATCAATCCTACCTGCACCAAGATAACCTGCGAAGATCATTAGTTTAAACAAAAGGAGAAGGGATTCTTGAGGAAATAACAAATTAGGAGCAGCCGAAAAAACCCAGACCCTGAATGTGTGGTTGCCAAAACCAACAAAAATATCAATTAATACTTCCAAGTGGAAACAAAACATTGCAGCAGCTTATGTTTGACTGTGGGACACCATCTCCACGAGGTGCTGATGTTCATTTGTCTGCAGGACTTCGCCGCCTATTTGGCATTTTGCGGAATTGTCCTTCACAACGCGCAGCTGTACGAGACGTCTCTGCTGGAGAACAGGCGGAATCAGGTACGGAACCATTTCCCGGTGGGTCTGTGTTTCCAAGTGACCCTCAGTGTTGCTAAACTGGTGCAAATTTGGCTAATTTTTCGAATTGCCTTCGTGCTTCTTGTGAGGGAAAAAAAGGAATAGGAGCACATTTGAGCAGCCGAGTCCTCCAGCAGCAGCTTTGAAGTGCTGTATCCAAATGATGCTCTCACCAAATGAGTTCATTAGGATCTGCTTAGAATCACAACAGATACTAATTGTGTTCCAAAGTTTTAAGAAATGTAGATATCACTGGTTTCAGAATGCACACATGAGCCATAGGAAATCATTAGGTTTCCTAAGGACAAGTAACTGTGTTGTCTGGACTTCTCAGGTTTCATTTGATGACCTGTTAATGCCTAAATCTATTCTGCCTCTCTGACCCAAAACATCAGCCAGCCATCTGTGCTATTTATTTCCTCCATCAAAAGCGTCAAACTGGCTGTTATTCACTTACTTTGCAGTCTGTGTGAGAGCCAATATTTAATTTTGGTCAAAGACACACACACTGACTTCCTTGATTCAGGGGAGAGAAGACTCAAAGACACTAGTAATGCTAATTATTGCATAAATCACAACTAGTCAAAATTTCACAAAAGGCCTTTTCCCCAGGTGCTTCTTGACCTTGCCAGCCTGATCTTTGAGGAGCAGCAGTCTTTGGAAGTAATCCTGAAGAAGATAGCTGCCACTATAATATCCTTCATGCAAGTGCAGAGGTGTACCATCTTCATAGTGGATGAAGACTGTCCCGTGAGTGTGGCTTTTTGGCTAAAGGCAGAAGAGCTTATTCCCTGGGAGTGGTTTGGGCTTCCCTCCACCTTGACTCTGTAGGATTTCTGACCCATAGTATGTTCTGTCATCTTTTCATGCTCAGTCTTTAATTTTCTGGCATCTGCTCAGGCTGGGTGTTGACTCGGGAGGTTTTGGTCTTTGTGTAGTTAAAGAATTTCTGTGCTGACAGATAAATTTGGCATGGCTTGTAAATACTGGCATTTCTTCTTAGAGTCATCAGTAGAGACTCAAGACACTTCAACGATACCTGAAGTTGTACCAAAAGATGTCTTTGTGGCAGGATCCTGTATAGATGTGAAATGAAGGGAAAGAATTTTACACTTGTGTTTATTACAGAATAGGTCTTGGTAACTGCAACAGGGTTTTCACGGATCATACTATTCTAATTTATGTCAGCCTTATAGACCTGTGTATTAAAATATCCTCTCGGTATTCCAGGATACATTTTCCAGTGTGTTTCACATGGAATCTGAGGAATTAGAAGATTCTGCTGAAAATCTGAAGAGGTAAACCAGTGAATTCAGACCTTTGTTCATCCCAGGAGAATCCTGAAGAAACTATGCTATTAATATTCTTTTCATAAGAACAGGCCTTATTTCTACTGGGTCCTAGGTATTACTGCTATTTTTAGAGAGCAGGTTTTGCCCTGAAGTGTGCCCAGACAAACTCTCTTGCCTTGAAAAGGCCCCACTGAGCAGAACAGGAGAGTAGGGCCCGATCTCTTCACTTTGCCAGGTCCAAGTACACATTGGTATCACAGGGCTAAGCTATGGACATGTACAAAATGGGAGAAGTAAAATTCTAACTTGGTGAGCAGCTCTAAAACTGATCTGTAAGAAATCTATGTAGACAACTATGGTGTAGAGTAGAAGATAATAATCCTATTAATGTTTTTAATCAGTTATTTTAATCATCACCCTTATCTCATAGATAAGGAAGCTGGCTTAAGGAACAAGTCTGACTAAATCAAGACTGAAGTCCTAAAGTTCTAACTTTCAGTCATCTTTGAGAAACCTACTGGGAGGAAGGGAGAGGTAGAAATAGCTGAATTAAAATACCCAGATTAAATAGTTTCCAAATTTAGCCTGAACCTCCGTGTTGAAGTTTGAAAATTACTGTCTCCATTACTTTTCTCTGCCATCAAAGACAGCTGTTTCAAATAATGTCAAAAAGAGACACAGTTGGATACAAAATGTTCACTGTGGATATTGTGTGCAGAGAGAAAACGGAGATTTCCGTACCCCTTTGATGCTTTTTTTGCAGTAAACATTTATTATATTAAAATTAATTCCATATATTAGAAAATTATGTCCAAAGTGTGTGGGTTAAGCAACCAAAAACTGTTGAGCTGTATTACAGTTCTAGACACTGTACAACCAGAATGTAGAGAGAGGTACAACAGTCTGATAAGATCATAAGGTGAAAAAGAAAGTGCCTCTTTACTTGCTCTTCTACACTATGAGAATGGACCCTTCCACTTCATTATCCTTTTTATGGTTACTATTTAATGGACTCAAAATGTGATTTACTGCTTGCATGGGCCATCAGTAAATTATTTCTCATAACTATCCCCTGATAGGGGAGGAATTTTGGAGGCTGAATTTCCTATCAGAATTTTGTTCATGAGACAGCACAACTACGTGCTGAGGACTGTACTGTGAGTCAGCCACTGGAGTCAGAACTTCTGCTCTGCTTGAAAGGCGTGATTTTTGGGCAATAGCAGAAATAATGACATGGATTAGATAGGAATTATTACTTTACATAATAAAATTCAGGCTTGTTATGTAATCAAGGACCCCTCCAGCCCTGTGAACATCCTTACAGCAGGAGGATAACTGAAGTCAAGGCAAATGTCAGAGGGAAACTCCGGGAGCTTGATGGCAATAGGTTTATTTTGAGGGCGTACGTCCTCGAAGGCAGGAGGGTCTGAGGGTGTAAGAGAATTAAAATACCTTAATTAAATAAGCTGTGACTAAAAGAGTGGAGATGACTGATTCTGTAAATGTCCTTTGTGTCCCAATTTGGAATAAACAGTTCTATTTCAGTAACAGAATCTCCATATGACTGATTG